TCAATACAAATTACTAGAAATGTTTCACATTTTTTTCGTTTAGTGACCTTTGTCTAAAAAAACATGCTTATTCTTTCAAAGCCCTTTTTTCAACGAGTTTATTGAATTCATCGCATACAACTGCATAATTATTTCAAGAAGTTCACAATTAGAATTTCATTGTAATAAATACTATATGAATAGTTAATTTTAAGCATATGCACATAGCAGTTGTGTTACAAAGTAATAACTTATCAATTACTAAATAAAATAGACATTAAAAACAAATAACTAATGTCACTAAACAATAAAATATTCATTGCTACTCATAATAAAAGTGAATTGTACCAACTTCTTTAGCTCTAAAGAATATCATTATATATTAATAGCCAATTTGTTAGTCGATTTTCGTAGGTGATTTTTTAAATGTAGCTGTCTTTTCTCACAATAGATGTCATTAGTGGAATAATAGAACAAATAATTACATAGTGAAATTTTATCCAAGATCATAGCTTGAGCCAAGAGCTTAAAAGAATCAAATTTTTTTGAATAAGCGCTGATTATAATCACGTCAATTTTTTCTATCCGTTGGAGAGCAATTTCATTGATTCTGAAGATGTACGAACAACAATTACCATGATGGTACATACATTTCTCAACAAAATACCCCACTTTTTTTTGTTGGCTCACAAATACCCCCTAACTTTAACTAATGCAACCAAGTATGCCATGTAATTTTTTTTGCCATCTGACCAATAAACATTAATATCCACCATGGATAATCATGCAATTTAATACCCATAAGCCTGCCTCATTAAAATCCACCCTAACCCTTATTTTATTTACAAGTAAATATAAGACCATACTCTGAGTGTTCATTTGTATCAATGAGGCGCTGCATGAGTGTTGATCGTGGTTACCTGCATATGTATCATTATAAGATGCAGACCAACGCACATCAATACACTGAATGTACGAGTATGTGAGTTGAAATGTTAAAAGAACTTAAGCTTGAAAAAGGGCTAGAAGGAACACTTATCTAGGGTCTAGTCAACTCAAGAATAACATAACTCAATACTACTCACAAAAATACTTAGCTCATATAGTTTTAAAACATTTTCTTCTCTTGTATGAGGTAATTACTTAAAAATAACTATAAAAACCCTCTTGGAAATCATAGTTTCCTCTTTACTAAAATTAGCCAAAGGCTATATTGGAAGTCTCAACTTCCTTTCTTGCTCAAAATGTGAAAACATTGGTAACTCTTAGAGAATACTTAGTTCCCTTATAACTTTTAAGAAATGAACTCAAATCTTTAGTCTTTGCTTAATTTTTCAAATTGAGACTCTAAAAATTTAAAAAGTTTATTAAGGACATGAAAACTTTAAGAACTTACTTTGACTTGGTTCTAACTTTTAGTCTTGACTCCTAACTTCTTTGACTTTGATCTTGACTTTCCATGAATTAGATTATGCATTCAACTTTCATGATCTCATGTTTATGGATAATTTCATGATGTTTAGATGAACCTTAGAATGTTGTAATAAACTATGAAACATAGGTACATGACTTAGGAATTCGTACAAAAAGTTGGGGAGAAGATTTGGGAGAAATGACGTCCCTGGTGCTATGAGAGGCGCGGGGAGCCAGCCCTAAAAGTTTAGAGAACATTCTGTGGCGCTCTGTCAGGCGACACGCTACAGGCCAAGGCTCAGAAGAACTTTTATGGCACTCTGGCAGGCAAGGCGCCCCAGCTAGAAAATATCCAACCTTTCTCCTTTATTTTTCATCTCTAAACCCTCTAAACTACCATAGTTTTTTTCCCAAAAACTTAGGACATTAGTCCCCTCAATACTAAATAGATTTAACTCAAAAAACAACCCGAATTACGAATGAAATCAACAATAGGCATTCAACTCAACCAACAATAACTCAACAATGTTCTTCAAGAACTTCACATACTAACATGTAAACAACTCACCAATCAATGATTTTAAAAAAGTTTGTTGTGTGGGTGAATAAAACTAACATTAAATTATCTTAAATACCTTTATAGGGATCACCCCCAACGAATTTCACTTGCAAAGCTTTGACGTTTTTGGAAAATTCTTGACTTTTGTCCATTTCTGTCTTCTTTTCTCTCGTCTCCAAACCCTAAGTGTAATTCTAAAATTTTAGAACTGAATTAATTTTGATTTTTTTAAACCAAATAATTCCATAAAAGTGAATAACAAAATTATTTTGGAAAAAATACATTTTTTAGTCTTTGTTCTTTTAATTATTCATAAACCATTTTATGTGTTTATAGAAGAAACAAAGTAGATTGTTTATTCTTTGTTCCTGTTATAAGCATGTTATACACTCGCTAGATTTCCTCAATAAAAATATATATGTTTTGTCAAGGGGGGGGGGGGAGTTAATAATGTTATGTTGTATTTGTCTAGCTCCAATTTCATTAGATGTTCTACAAGTGCCACCATTCTGGAAACAACATCTCAAAAATATCGCTTCAACAATTTGAGATCTCCAAAAGAGCACAATAGTAGTCATCGTACATCAGGCCAATAATCATTAAGTGAATCTAAACATAAGACTAGCAATAGAAAATAAGGGAGAATTCCCCGTCTTAAATGAAACATTCCTAATTAATTCCAAAGAGAAGTAGAGTTTCCATTGTAAACTTCCAATACCGACAACATTTTTGCCAGAGAGGAGAGTTAAATTCAAGTGAAACTCTATCCTCCACAATTTCAAATTCATCCCCTCTACTCAAACATTGAGAGTTCATCAAATAAGCAATTTTTTCTTATGACAAATAATGTTGGTGGTTTTCTTCAACAACATCAATATAGGCCATTATTGGAGATGTTTGGTTTGGTGGTTTGCTTTAACAACATAAGTATAAACCATTATTGGAAATGTTTGGTTCACCAAGACTCCAACACCTAATTAAACGAAACATTACTCATAGGCCTGACTCAGAATTTAACACTTTGAATCCTCATAATCAAAGTGAGTACAACTTGAAACTCAATATAGCTCATAAAACAGGACATTTAGATAGCAAAATAATGTTTGATATATGTATGGAAATTATGAAGATTAATGACTACAGTTTGAATGTGAATGCAGGAAATATGAACACATATTTAGGTAGTGAGACGATGTCATATATTGATGCTAAAATTTTCAAATATTGATGCACTTTGAACAATAAATGCTAATTTTCAGCAACATATTGCTGAACCAAATATACCTTGTTCGAGCAGTATAACCGCGACAAATAAGAGTGATGTAGAAGAAAGTAATTCAATTAAGAAAGAACATTATGATGCATATTCTAATTTTAATCATATGGGTTATTTGTTCAAAAATCTTGGACCTTCAAATACTAACTTCCCCAATTCATATGACAATGAGTTTTATCAAGTTTATTTTGATGATTAGGTTAGTGCTTTAATCTAATTTAGTATTTTATATATATATATATATATATACATATATATATATGTATATATGTATATATATATATATATATATCAATATAAGTTTACTACAAAAGTTGACTACACTAGCTGATGCATATTAGTTGGTTTAACACTAACCTATATTGTTGTGAATTTATATTGCTTTTAGCTAATAAAAAGAATTAAACAAAAAATATATAATATCAAATTACTAGTTTGAAACACTTAACTTATAAATAGAATAAACTTAATCAAATTCGTTGTCATATGAATTGGGTAGGTAAGCACCTGAAGGTCCAAGATTTTGGAAAAAATAACCCATATATTGAATCTAGAATATGCATCACAATTTTCCTTCTCATTAGAATCTGTTTCTTCTATATCACTTTATATATTGTCACGATATTGCTTGGATAAGACATTTTTGGTTCAACAGTTTGTTGTTGTAAATTAGCATTTATTGTTCCAAGTTCGTTACTAGTAGTGCTTTCAGCATTAATATTAGACATCATTGTTCTACTTGAATTTTTGTTTGTATTTCCTGCATTCACATTCACATTATATTCATTATTTGTCGTAATTCCAACACCTATATCAAATATTTTTTTCTACATGAATGTGTTATTGTATGAGCTACATTGAGGTCCACGTTTGACTCACTTTGAATATGATGATTCCAAGTGTTAAATGCTTAAGAAGAGTAATGATTAATTTTTCCTATAATTTGTTCTTGTCGTCTTTGTGAACAGAATATTTTAAAAAAATTAGTGTTTTGCAACGGCAACAATATGTCACTATATGAAGAAAATCCGTCACTAATCACGATTAGTGAAAGATTAGCTACGAAATATTGATTGTTTCTATTATGCTCGTGAGTAAGCTCTTAATTACAAAAAATGAGTTCCGTTACAATTTTGGTGACGTCTTAGTAACGATTTACTTCCGTCGCTATATTTTAGAGACGGAATAATTAGTTATTATATTTATATAATTTTTTTGTTATTATCATAATTCTATGATGAAAAATGATGGTTCGTCTCAATTTTAGTGACATCATAGTGACAAAACATTTCCGTAGCCACATGTTAGCGAATGAAAGATTCGTCACTATATTTATATAGTTTTGTTGCTAATTTCATAATTCATTTCCTTATTTTGGATAAAATTTGCAACAAAATTTCTTTCGCAAAGTATTTTGTAACAACATATTAGGTCTTTACTAATTAGTCGTTGATCCATCGCCAACATTCTTTTTACTGCAATGACCAAATAGTCGCTAAATTTGTTGCTAAAATTGTTCTTATGCCCTGTTGAAATATATTAAATTAAAATTACTAAATACTTTAAAATTAACAAACATTTATATAATATAATATTCATACACAATTCAAAATATATCATGTTGACAACTCAAAAACAACATACTTTTAGTTAAAAATATACAAAGAAAACTATCAAGTACTCTTAAATGAACCCATGTTCATCAAAAAATAGTACTCACAATTTCTAGTTTTTTAAAAGAATGACATTATAAAAATTGAAGTTTTGGAGCTATCAACTTGAAATAGAGGTATCAACCGCATCCACATTTCCACCAAGAGGCATGGGCGTAGCAGACGATGGATTGTTGAATGGAGTAATTGATGCTTTCACCTGCTCAACAATAATAGGAACAAGATGAATAGTTAGTAAAGACATCATTTTCTTTACAAAATCTTCCATATTTTTTGTCAATGTTGATTGATAAAATGAATGTTGTAATGATAATGACCCACAAAGTTTTTGCCCATAGTAATTTTTTTCTTCAGATCCAAGACCTTAGATTCTTCTCTTTTTTTTCTCGTCCCACAGCTTGGTACTATGCTTCATATTGATCTATTTCAGTTTCAGACAATGTTTTTCCTTTAATATTTTTTGTATTTTACTATTTTATGTAAAGAAAATTAGAAAGCATTAATGACATGGAACAAATAAAATTTTGAAGGAAAATGCAGAAAACACACAAAGTCATGCTCAATAAAGTGTATAGAGTGGCAAAGACACTAAGACTAAAGATGTCTATTTCAGGCAAGTTTTATACTATTCTGTATGATTCTTTATAAAATACCAGCTGCTCTTTACAAAGATAAATATTATATGTGAGTGCTGGATGAGGCATTCCTTTGAAACTGAGCAAACTGATAGAAATAAAATACTTCACAAGCTGACTAGAACAGAATTCATATGTGTACACCATTTTTTTTTGTGTAGTAGTTGTTGTGTCTGTGGTAATAAATAGTGGATAGCTAAGTAATTGCTAGAAGCATCCACCCCAAGAGAAGATCATATCAAGACGAGTTATCTCTTCTTACTGTAGGTGTAAAGTAGAATTGCAATAGTTTTAAGCAAGAGTTTGTGTTTTTAGCAACATATAATTTTACCCACACTAATAAAAGTAGTTCCCCAGAGTATTAGTGTAACACCCCGTAGCCAAATTAGACCAAAAATAGGTTTCTTCAGAAAAATTTGCAGGTGCAACCTATGGTGGCATCGACGGGCCATAGAATAGACGACGGTCCGTTCTAGACAACCGTCGATGGGATCAGAAACTCCCAAAACTTCAGTCGGGAAAAATTAGCTAATTCTTGATCGATGAACGAACTGACGGTACGTAGGTCAGAGGATTATCCATAGTCCGTGACAATCGATCGAGACCACCATTCACCACTCTCTGATAAGAGCTATGGATGACCAGTACGGTCCGTCGGTGGAAATTTTGCAAAAAGTTAAGGGGAAATGCAGTAGGGTCAACATTAAATGGTCATAACTCTTTCCATAAGTGACCCATGACCTACCCACATATAGATAATTGAATTATCTTTCCATAGCCATCGACCTTGCAAAAATCAAACCTCCGAGTAAAAAGTAATACCAATTTTAGTAAAGGCCTATGGAATAGGCCCTGACAACGGACCCTATGACGGGGCATGTGGCATACGAAGGACCTTCAGTCCTGGCCATCGTTCGGCCCAATAGCAACTTTCCGAAGGGTCTTTTTGACCTTTCCCACTCCTTTTAAACTCAAAGTTACATCGTTTTGACCCTAAATCGTCCTATTTTAGTCCGGTTAAGCCTAGAAACATAATTAAAACATATCCAAGTCAACTCATTAAATCAAAACCTTGAAAAGTAAAAAAAAGAGAAAAAACTCAAAAACCCTAGTTCAATAACGCCACAAGCTCCAGGAGTTCCAGCCCTGAAACTTAAGTATTTTTTATTAGATTTCATCACCAGGTATGTGGGGTTTAACTAGTGGGTTCATTTCACCCATTGGGTACCTAGTTTTCAGTCAGATTCTTGATTCTCTTATCATAATTAAATCTAGGGTTTCTAAAACTTTGATATAACTTCATGATTTACATAAATATATGTTCCAAATAAGATTATCATGTTATTACTCAGATTATCGCATGAATTTCAGAACCCTGGCTTTGTATTTCTTTATTTCTTTAATTACACATGCTACGCCAGATATTTCAGAAACTTCTCATATACATGCCTCACTTATAAATGCATACTTTCCAGATTAATTGTTGCATTCTTATTTTGCTTGTTTAGTTTTGAGCTATCAAACATTTAATGAAATTTAGACATAAACAATAATTTTACTGAAATCATTGGTAGAAGGATAATACCCAGTTGGACTAAGGTGTAGTGTACCCAATAGTCCGAGAACTACTAACCAAGTAGGTTTTAAATCCCTTATGTGGGAAATAAGTTTAGTGATCACGTGCCTTTATACCTTTGGAAGGGTATATTGTGTCCTCTCTATGGGGCGTATACATCAGACACGACATTTAGCTCATGTGGTTTTATGATCTATATTTAGTAGCTCCCACTGATCAGTCAGACTCTCTGCATTGACCATTTATCAATATATTTAATATTGAGTTTTAGAATGTTATAAATTGGTCATTGCATCTAGTTAGTTCAGAATTCAGTCTATCATGTCAGATTATTATACTTGCTATTTTGCTTGTACAGTTATGTTTTATTTCAGCTTTACCTTATCCTACATTCTCAGTATCTTTCAAGTACTGACGCGTACGTGCGCTACACCTTCTCGTGATGTAGGCCAGGTTCTCATTATCCAAATCACGCATAGATTGATTTCCCGATCTCCAATTAAGTAGATTTAGTAGTGAGTCCTCATTCTTCGTGGATAATGGTCATGAATGTTTTGCTAGATTTACCTTGGTGCTTGTCCCAATATTTCTAGTCCAGTTTAGAGTCTATTTTAAGACATACTTAATTTCAGCTCAGTAGTGAGTTAATATTTCATTGTATTTAACTCCTTGGTTTTTCATATATCTCAGCTATTGAATATGTGTATTCCCCATCTTATAAGATTAAATTATGATTTAGATTACACATCAATTTATTATTCTTTAGTATGCTCATGATCATGCAAGCAGGGTTAGCCTGGGATGACTTGTGGTCCTATGTTTTGTGTCCGTTTCTCAGGGGTATTTCGTGGTGTGATAAAACTTGGTATAAGAGCACTAGATATAAGTGTCCTAGGATTTCTGCAAAGTCGCACTAAGTAGAGTCTTTTTAATGGATGCGAAGTGTAACATATTTAATGAAAGGGAGGCTGTGAAATATTTTAGGAAAAATTTCACTTTCTTCTTACTCTTATTGTGCGTAAGGTATGATTTTATTCCAATCAAACTTGACCTTCTACATTTCAGATCATGCCTTATCGTAGAGATTAGGCATGGAATGCTATTGCAGTTCCTGTAGTACCATATAAGGAAGTATAATGCAGAATTTCAGAATGCTAATTAAGCTTTTGGCTAAGAGTATGACCAACCATAACAATCACCAGGTTGTAGTTACTACTAATATAAATGATCGATCAGTGGAAGCCAGAGTTTGTGATTTTGTATGGATGAATCCGCCTATGTTTTTAAGGTTGCATGTTGGTAAGGACCCATAAAATTTCATTGATAAGGTCAAGAAAATATTTTTTGTGATGTCAGTAACTTGTTGTGATAGGTGAGATTGACATGATACAAACTCAAAGATGTGACTCACATATGGTTTACTCAGTGGGAAGACAACAGACATGACTTTGTCATTTGTAACTCAATATAGCAGTCTAATTCAATGCCAGTCCAGAAACTCTCTCAGAATGCTTCTCTATCTCAACTCCAATATGTGACCCAGTTTTAGCTAGACGGATATACAGAAATTGCCCTATCACAATCTCTCAGAAAGTCACCTCAGCAGATCTAGTAGAGTTCAAAATGGTAGACTTCGATGTCATTTTAGGAATGGACTGGTTCTATTCATGTAATGCCTCAGTCGATTGTAGAACTAGGATTGTTCGTTTTCAACTTCCAGACGAACCAATCTTAGAAAGGAAGCGTAATAGCTTAGCACCTATGGGTAAATTTATTTCTTACCCTTAGGATAGAAAGATGTTATCTAAGGGTTATCTCTATAACCTAGTTCGGGTTAAGGATTCTATCCTTGAAACCCCAACTCTAGAGTCAGTTGTAGAAGTCTGTGGATTTCCCGAAGTATTTCCAAAAGATCTTCCAAGAGTCCCTCACAAAAGAGAAATAGACTTTCGAATTGATATCCTTCCAGATACCAAGCCTATTTATGTTCCTCCTTACAAAATGGCTCAAGTAGATCTTAGGGAATTGAAAGAGCAGTTGAAAGACCTGCTAGATAACTGTTTTATCAGACCTCGTATGTTACCATGGGGTGCGCCAGTATTGTTTGTAAAGAAGAAAGATGGTTCTCTCACAATGTGCATTGACTATAGACAATTGAACAAGGTCACAATCAAGAATAAGTATCCCATCCCCAGTATTGATGACTTGTTTTACCAACTTCAGGGTGCTAGTCATTTCTCAAAGATAGAACTCAGATTGGGTTATCATCGGCTTAGAATCAGATATAGTATTATTCCTAAAACAGCCTTTAGAACTCAGTATGGTCATTATAAATTTGTAGTTATGTCGTTTGGACTAACTAATGCTCATGCAACTTTCATAGATATGATGAACAGAGTGTTAAATCAGTACTTGGAATTCTTCATTATCGTCTTTCTTTATGACATTCTCATTTACTCTAGGAGTGAGGACGAACATTATGCAGACTCTCAAGGATCGCCCATTATTCGCTTAGTTTAGTAAATGTGAGTTTGGGTTGCAATCCGTTGCTTTTCTTGGTTACATTATATATAGCAAAGGGATTCGAGTGGATTCGCTGAATATAGAAGCAGTGAAAAAGCGGCCCTGACTTACCTCTGCTACAGATATCAGAAGTTTCTTAGGTCAAGCAGGTTATTACATATAGTTTGTGGAAGGACTTTCATCCATCGCCTCACCATTCACTAGGTTGACTCATAAGATGTTCAAATTCCAATGGTCAAATGATTGTGAGAAAAGCTTTGTAGAATTGAAAACTAGATTGACTACAACTCCTGTCTTGACTCAATGAGAGGGTTAAGATGGTTATTTAATATATTCTAATGCATATAGATTTTGCCTAGTTTGTGTGTTGATACAGCGAAGTAAAGTGATAGCTTGTTCCTTTAGACAACTTAAGGTTCATGTGAAGAACTATCCAACTAATGACAACGAGCTTGCAACAGTGGC